TGTAGATTAATTTTAGTAAATTTAGACTCTATTGCATAAAAAATTTTACTCTCTAATTTTAAAATAATCAAATATCTATTGTAATGTTATTGAACAATAAGTCAAATGGCAAGTACCTATATCAAAGTATTGAAATGTATAGCTTGTCCTATAAAAAAGTAATGTTAATCTTTATGAAGTCATGAGCACTTATAGTATTAATGAAAAAGTTTATAGCATGTTCTTTCTAATTTGTATTAGATTCTTTATAAGTTTAAAAATTAGCATACCAAAGCATATTAGACCCTCATCCCTAAAATAAAAATACACTTAAATATTTCATAAATGTAAGAAATGCACTGCAAGGTGCCTCCACTTTATTAACTAAGAAAAGAGGGCAATCATTAGTCTTAGATATAAACAAAGAAATCTAATGAGTATCTAAAATATCATCAACTTTGTATCTAATATGTTGTTTGATTCTAAATAGTGTTTTTGTAAGTACCTAAGATAAGACCAAGTTGGTCCAAATTTAACAATATCAATAGATATAAGAGTTCTATATTATAGCATCTACAAAAGTTAGAGAACCTAAGAACTGATGAATATATTGCTCAACCTCTAAAAACTTTATTTAAATGTCATCCAATAAAAATATATTTTAAAAAATATGGCTAAGTAATATAGTTTGATATATAAACTTCTATTGCATGAAGCACATCAAATTTGCAAATAGACTAAAAAAATGGTCATTTAAACCTCCATCTACCCTTGAATATGAATGACCTTGGTAAGACCATGTAAAATTCTTATTTATTAGATGCCAACATATGGAGTAAATAAAGACAAATGATAATAAATGCACTGATTTTTTTAAAGTATCTAATAAGGTCACAATCTCTTAGTATTGTTGAGATAGTTTTGTATATATATTTTCTACAAAAAATAGATCTTTGAAATATTTATTAAAATTTCCAGAAATAAAAAATTGAACAAAATGATAATTTTGTTTTTTTTTTAGAATTAGTGTATTAGGTAAGTTTGATGCTAATGCACTACAATAATATAGAGCCTCCAACAACATAATTATAGTAGTTGATAAAATTATTATAGAAATATATATATATATATAGATATATTTTCATTGGTAAATCACCTTGGTTTAATCTATGCTTATTTAGTTTAATTTTCTAAATCAAAATCAAAATAATAAAGTACTTGCTAACAAAATAAAATATTATAGTTAGTAGTATTAATCAATATACACTTTAGAAACAGGTGTAAGTAAGGTGGTTTAGATCCAATGCAAAAAATCAACTACAATAGTTGTCTAGTATAGCTAATAGCTTGCTTTGTGCCCCTTATTGAAGTAAGAATGGTGAAAAGACAAGTTTTAAGGTTTGTAGCCTTCAAACCTAATTCTTTAACAAATTGCTTGCTAATCATGATTGGTTAATCAACAAAGTCCATCTTACATTGTAAAAATATAGCCTAAGTAGTGTTGTTGCTAATTTGGCTAACAACTAAAATATTGTTGTTATTAATTAGTTGTACTACTTGTGAACTCAAGTTTTAGTATTCTTGAAAAAATTTAGCTACGATAAGTAATAAATATGCTACTTATGTAGTCAATGGTGCATCAAATAAAGTATTTAAATTTATTTGTTATAAAACACTTTCATTAAAAGATGCAATGGTTTTAATTACAAGCTTTACTTGCAACTTAGCCAAATTATTATTTATTGAAGGTTCAATGATTGCTTAAATGACCTTATCTTCTAATATCTTATAAATTAAATAAAAAACCCTTCTTGGCTTAAAATTTAAAGCCAACATATAAACACTAGAGAAAACATGCATTTGTAGTACTTTTTCATCCAAAGTTTTTGAAATGTCTCTAATGAAATTTTTTGTATCTTATGTTGAAGATAAAATATGACTTATTGTTCCCACTCAAGTTTGTCTTTATAAATCATACGTGTTAGTAGAGTTGCAATTTGAGAAGATTTCTTAATACAAATTTAATAAAAATTAGCAAATCTTTAGTATGAATTCTTATAAAATATAAAGTTTTTGGTTAGATTTTTATTAATCTCAGTTGTTTAAGTTCTTCCAACTCATTTTGTAATAAATTATATATAGGTTCAAATGGAAATTGAAAAATCATAAGGACAATGCTTTGGAAGAATATTTGCATTTTTTTACTAAAAAATATCTTAATAATTTAGATATCAGATTAGAATATTATTTAAAATTCTTCACTTTTAAAAATGAATGTAATATAAAAATAAATAAAAAAGTGATGCTTCTTTTGCAACATGCATAAAAGTTCTTGTATCCACAAATAAAGATTTAATTTTATTAGGCTTAAAAATTTTTATTTGATAAATTTTTATTTATATTTTCTAAAAACTTAAAACTATAAAAAATCTAATCTATTTGAGGATTATAATTTTTTAATCATAAGAAACTTAAAATAACTTGATTAAAAATAAATCTAATTATATTAAATTTTATTCAGTTATTATAATTATTTATTGTTACATCTATAAAAATAATTTTATATAATATTTAAAAATAGTAAAAAAATTAAAATATTTCTTTATCAATTTTTATATCTTTAAATTTTGAATTTTTATGTTAAAAAGATGTTAATATTGCTATTAAATTAAAAAATTATTGAAGTCTACTTATTAAGCTTTTAGATTGAAATTTAAAAAGATAATTGTCAAAATTCACAACAAAGTCAATTTCTTGACTTAATATTTGAAGATGAAGTAAGTTTAGCTTCAAATTTTATTCATATTTTAATTTGTAGAAAAATTAGCTAATAATTACAACATGATCTAATTTCATATTGATTATAAGTTGTCAAAATTATAAAACATATAATATTATTAATTGACTATTTTGATATGAAACGCAATTCTTTTTGGTTGCAATATAAATCATATCATGTTCACTATACATAGATCAAAATTTTACCAAAAAAACCTCCAAATTATCCAATATTGCATCATGTTGTTAAAAGAATAGATGAAAATCATAATAATATAGAATCTAAAAGCAATATTTCAATAAATCTAATTTGTGACTTTAGATTTGGACAAATTTTGGAGTTGAAGCTAAATCACAAGTCTAATTTAATTGATAAATATTTAAACTTTGATCTTATATTATTAAAAAAAATTAACATAATAACGCTTGGTCCTCTAATGCTTAAATAATATTCTATACTATGAGAAGTATTATGATTTAGTATACATATTAAACCAGCTCCAATCATCTATATATCTTTACTTATAACTAATATTGTTTCTCTTTATGGTGGTAAAATAAGTTGATGCATTGTAAGCATTGACTCTATGATTTGCTCTTGCATTTATACCATTGTATTTTTTATTTTTAAAAGTTTTGTTATAATATAATAATAAAAAAGAATATATTTAATATCATTCAAGATAAATAAAAGAGATGACTCTAGAAGAAAGAAGATCCTAAGAACAATATCATTTTACAAGTGAGTGATTTGTAACTTCTAATTTGCTTTTGTTTCATTAAAAATAGAAGTAATCTATTCTTAATTAAGAAAATATAAAGCTTTAATATTATAAATTTATCCTTGTCAATTTTTCAAGAATAAACTAGAAGATTTGTAGTACATATATATATAAAAAAAATTAATGTACAAGGCAAGTTTTTTATATATGTGCTACATGGCCAACTTGTTGGCTAAGTTTTTAACCAACTAATCATCTACATACATGTATAAAATCAAATCCAAATCTATATAGCTTCTAAAAAGCTTCATCTAAAGGTATTATTTAATTTATCTTCTTTTACTTATTTCTACCTAACTCTTCTTATATAAATAATTTTTAATATTAATTATGTTCATTATACCATCCAAGGCCTTTTCAAATTTTTTTAAGTATTTATAATTAAAAGTTTAGACATTTTTATTATTTTATTGATTTAAAAGGCTCTTCTGATTTTTTTTATAGTATCTAGTGCCATTGTATAAATATAGAAGTAAGATAAGAAGTAATGCAACCTTATCAATACAAATTTTATACCTATTCAAGTATTATTTTGTAATTAATTTTGTAACAAGTTTTTTTTTTAATCAAATGTCTTAGTTCTCTTGTAGTCCTTTTTTGTTGGTTATATGACTTTGTATTCTCAAAAATCATTAATTAAAGAATGATAATAATGATATTAATATATATATATATATATATATATATATTTATCATTGCAAATATTTGAAATTACAATTTCAAAAATATAAAATTAACATAGAGATTTGGCTCATGATTTTTTTTTTTTTTTAAAGAAAATAGGAAACTGATTACTTGCAATAGACACTTGATTTAAAGGCTGCACCATAAAACTGATAGTGAATATTTTATATTTTATTTTTGACATTAAATACAATTTCTGTAATACATGTCATTGAAACAACCAAATTTTTTAAAAATTGTTTCAGAAATAAAGTATCAGAAAAATTCAATGAAATCCATAATATTATATCCAAATAATATCATATCAAAGAAAAGTAAGAAATAGAATATGCTTTAATCATGTACTTCAGAGGCCGTCGCGTCCATCACATCCACTCCAAGAGAAGTCGGGTTCATCCATCCATCCATCTATCCATCCATCTACCCATCTATCCATCCATCTACCCATCCATCTACCCATCCATCTACCCATCCATCCATCCATCCACACATCCATCCATCCATCCACACATCCATCCATCCATCCACACAGCCATCCATCCATCCACACATCCATCCATCCATCCATCCACACACCCATCCATCCATCCACACATCCATCCATCCATCCATCCACACATCCATCCATCCATCCACACAGCCATCCATCCATCCACACATCCATCCATATATCCACACATCCATCCATCCATCCACCCATCCATCCACCCATCCATCCATTCATTCATCCACTCGGGGGAGAACGAACTTGCTGAAGGTGAGTGTGCAGTGCAGCACTGGCGGTGTCTCGACCAGAAAGTGCGCTCGCTGCGCTGCGAAACACGATTCATTCCATCGCCATTTGTGCCCTTTGCATTGGATCTCGACCCAGGCAGTTCCTATACCCGGGAAGCTGGTGTCTGCCGGAAGTTCATGTACTGATCTATCCCCTCTCAACCGATCACCCGCAGTTCAATGTTTTCTTTCACGTGATTTGGGTTTGTGAGATTTTCACATGCAGATGGAATTAAAATTGTTGGCCGCAGATTTGTGTTTCATTGTGAGCTTTTACTGATTGCAAATTTAGTTTCTGTTAGACGCAAGTGACTCCATCAGGATTCCTGCGTCTTTAGTACAAGCTGGTTTTAGCTTGTAAATCATCACCTGGGATTTGGAGCGACAATCACAATTTTGCTGCATTCTCTGTGTGCAAAAAGGAGTCGGAATTGAGAGAGAGAGAGCTATGTCAGGAACCCGACCGAGAAGATGCGTGGCTAACTTGGGACGTGCGCTCTTTGAGCTGCGAAGATCTTCTCAATGTACGCGGCAGGTGTTTGATACCCCTGCTAAGGAGTTCCGACATGTGTTCTCTCCAACGGACGCTGTCCAATCATCCTTGTTGGGATCATTTCTTGGGGGGAGGTTGTCTAGGCAACAAGAATTCATTCAATTTCTGGATCATGGGCAATCGATTGAAAGGTGGTGGGTCACGTCCAAGACTATGCCTCAGGTGTGCAAGGCTCAATATCTCATAGTGTAGTAGGCAGGCGGCCAATGTTGTGAGAAGAGTTTTGCAGTGTGTTGTTAGAATATCTTTAATTGACTCATTTAGGAAAATAATATATGCTTTTGCATAGTTGCACAACAGGGGCAATTGGGGGATTTCTTTCGAGTACTTTAAAATTTCTACGATATTCCTATATGCTTTTTGTTTCGAAAATGGTGAATTCTACAATTCATGCACACTTTTCTTTTTGGTATAGACAAGCACTTTATTGGCAAGGAGTGTCGACGTTTTGGATCGGAAATTTTAGGGTTTAGGGTTTAGGGTTTATGTATTTCATTTCTGAAACCAGTGATTCCCGCGGTTATTTCGAAAAGTGTAGTTGAATTTATTACAGTAAGCTTGATTGTGATGCTGAATCTTCAACAAGCGAATGCTATCATGTTTGATTGATCCTTCAAGTCGTGGTCTGCATTATTTCAGAAAATATCAAGAGAAGCCTCTAACATCTCTTAGCAAATTCTAGCACCGAATGATAACTTTGTGCTGACTCGTTGATCATTTGTAGGGTTTTCGCGTCTTGGGCAGATCTTTCCACTCATCGAAGCCGAATCAGATTCCCAACTCTAACAAGACTAGTGAAGCTATATCAAAGGTAGCTGGAGAACATGCTAAGACCGCTGGAGGAAATGCAAGGGCCGTACGAGGTGGCGTAAGTTCGTCTTGACTTTCTTATGACAGTTAGAGTTTGCTTTGGAACAATTCAATGCTTTCGTTTTTTAAATCTATGTTCCAACTGTTTCGCATGTCATTTGTACGTGTCTGGTCTTGTCATATTTTTGAAGAAATTACTCTTTTTTCGTGGCGACATTTATTGTTTGGTACAACCACTGGCAAAGTTCTCGATGGTTTTGGAAGGATAATTGCTTGGAATGGTTGGTGATTGTTGAGTTGAGATTGCATCTTTGTGCTTCAGCCTGTATCTTGGGCAAGCCTCGCGCTCTTGGTGGTTACTGGAATTGGCCTGATTTTGTTGTGGGAGCAAGAAAAGAAGCGGCAGATAGAAGGTTGACTGCCTCTCTCTGAATTCCTTTAACCATCCTTGTTACCTTGTTGGCTACTGTGAGAGGATTATGTGGAAATTGTACTTTGTTTCATGTGTAATTTCCTCTCGCTATTGCCAGTTTACACTAATTGATACTTGCTTCTCCTACAGTGCTCCGCTCAGAGCAAGGAGCAGTTGCCAGGACTGGCCCTGGAGTTGGGAAGGCAGCTATTGGGGGTCCTTTTAAGTTGCTCAATCAAGATGGTAAAGTGGTTACAGATCGAGACTTCGTCGGCAATTGGACACTTATCTACTTTGGGTTCACATATTGCCCAGATATATGTCCTGATGAACTGACGAAGCTGGCTGAAGCTGTTGATAAAATTGGTTGGTCTTCTCATGGCTGCTTTATCTCTATCTTCCGTACTCATCCTTCATTTTGGATGCTTCTTCGTGACGTATATATGTCATGTTTTGCCTGTTGCTGTTTACGACATATTGTTTCGTAGAGCTAACTGTTTATCTTGCTTCGGCTTGAAGGGTCACCATGCTAGTTTCAATAAACTGTACAGGATTTCGTGGTCTTTGTCAACTTCTGTTCAGCTCTGTTGGTCTTACTATTGATCTTTCTGGAACGCAGAAAAGAAAGCTGGTTTGCAGGTGCTTCCTGTTTTTATTTCCATTGATCCTGAACGCGATACTGTTGAGCAGATCCGAGAGTACTTGAAAGGTGAGTTTCAGGTCTGGACCTCTTTTAGCTTATCCCACATGTCCTTGTAGGCAGTTTTTTTGTCACTTCATTATCGATGACTTATATATTGGTTACGTAAGAGGCCATAACTTAGATTCAAAAGTTAGCCATTGAATGTGGGCCTTTGCTCTGCTGGTTCTACTCTGAGTTATATGCTGGCACCTTTTGATCTGCAGAATACCACCCCAGGTTTGTGGGTTTGACTGGCACCGTGGAAGACATTCGTCAGGTTGCACGCGAATACAGAGTTTATTATATGAAAACGGAGGATGAAGGCACTGACTATCTCGTGGATCACTCCATTATCACGTACGGTTGTCTAAACTACTCACTTTAACGGTTCAGACGATTTGTTTCGTTCTGACTTCTTGCTCTGAAACTTTTATCTTCTTTATTTCAGTCATCTTCGTGTAAAGTTTGTCTCATCAAAACGCCCTCTTCAGCATTGTCGATTACGTATTGGGAATGTCGTACTGTGTACAGGCGAATTGAGCACTTCATCATATTGCAGCCACTCTCACAAAGTAGACGTTGGTTATTTTTTCTTGCAGGTACCTGATGGATCCGGAAATGAACTTTGTTAAGTTTTTCGGGAAGAATTACGATGCAGATTCTCTTGCTGACGGAGTTATTACTGAAATCAACAATGTTTTAAAGGGGAAGTAGGTCTTGAAGTTTTAGCTAGTAGCATGGGTAATTGTATCAGTAGTTTGATGATTCAGGAAAATTTAAAGTTCTTTTGCTACAATCTTAGATCTGCCTTTGTCCAGTGCCGTTTTTTGAATCGAACATATACAAGAATATTCTAAATATACTGCTCAGAAATATGTATAATGCTCGAATCACTAAACAAAAGGGCTCTTCCGTAGTCTGACCTTGTTCGGGATCAACACCATCCATATCAAGGCTGTGCCGGTAAATCTTTTAGTCGTCTTCATGGAGAAGCGTGTGGGCACTTGAACCTCAACGAGGTATTTGCAATTCAAATTAAACTGGAACAAGACTCTACCTATCATAGTGGGTGTGCCTTGGGTCCTGAACGCGTAGGCAATGATGTGCAAAAATGAACTCAGAAGCAATCATGCTGCGATTGTTTAAATAAAATATTTTAGGAACAATTCCATGGGTTGGAATGATCTATGCTGAGGAGAGGAGCCACAGGTGTAAGATATTTCAGCCACCTATAGTTTCTTTACGCTCTGCTAGTGGAAACCAATTTATAGTATTACCATGTCTTCACCGTGAGCAGCAACATCAAAAAGTAACCCGAGGTACAACTTGTGAAAGCAGGCACAACACATCCATTGTCATTGTCTGCAAGCTGAAGTTTCTCCAGCAGCTTTAGAAAAGTTAGACCTATTTCTTGACAAAAAAAATCCTTGATCCTCACGAATGACAGCAGCACCCACAATTTCCAAGTCACCGAGTAACAACAATACCCTCAGCTCCTTTGCCCCAGCAGCAACCTTCATCAGTGTTCACAACAAAATAGCGTCTCCATGCGGTATCATGAGACAAATAAATCAATGGATTGCCATACATGCTCTTCAATCCATTCAACCAAGAGAAAAACACAATAATCCCATTACATTCCGCCACAAAATCAGGCGCGAACTATTCCAGCCCAGACGAGGAAAAGGCAGAGGAGTTAACCTGGGATGCGAAAGGCCACTGATCCAAGAAACCACAGCAACCCCACGCCAACCTTGAAATACGCCAATCTTATCCTACTAAGCTCATCCATCAATAGGAACCCACAACTAAGCAACGACACCTTCAAGCTTCTGGTGGCTTCTTTTAGACTTTTGCTACTCCGAAGGTTTGAAAGAAGGAACATTCTTTTATAAATTTTCCTTCAACAAATTTATAAAAGAATATTTAACAACTTCCCTTCAACGTATTCTTTTATAAATTTTCATAACCAGGAAGGGAAGTTGAGAGAGGGGTCTCCGGGGAGTCATTGTGGGACGGGCAAGTGGCACTGGACGTGGCTTCTGCCGGCCACCCCGCCCTGTGGCTAGGGACCGCCTCATGCCCGCCCTTGCCATGAGTCCACAACATCCATCCCATGAGTCCACAACTTCAATAATTAGCACTTATTTGATTTTTTACTTCCTTCTCTTTGCATTATTTTGATATTTATTATCTTCAAATCATCTAATAATTCTTTCTAAAAGAGAGAGTAGGTACTTTTATCTTTTAGAAGATGCCTTTCAAGTAGATGTCTATTTTAGCTCCTTTTATTAATGATTGATGAGTTAAAATAAACCCTCTTAGATGAGGTAGCTTGAATTCCTCTTACAAGTTAATTTAATTAAATTTCTTAAGTTGAATGATAAATAACCAAGCATTTATTTCTTTATTTATTTTTTAAGTTCAAACATCTAATTGACTTCTTCTAAAATGATAAAATAATATTAAAATTTAAAGATTGACAATTAATGCAAGGATAAAAATTAAAAGTTAAGTCAAATATGAAAAAATATAAGGATTAAAAGTTGAAAGTAAAAATTAAATTAAAATTAAAATTAAAGTTAAAATGAAACAACATAAGGATTAAAAGTTCAAGGTAAAAAATAAAATCAAAGTAGAAAATTAAGTTAAAAATGAAATAATATAAAGATTAAATATTGAACATAAAAAGGTAAATTTAAGGTTAAAAGTGAGGTAAAAATTGAAATAACATAAGATTAAAAATTGAAGATAGAAAGGTGATTGGAAGTTAAAAATTAACAAATAATTACCAAGACAAGGTAAAAGATTCAATTATTGTAGTATTAATTAAAAGTAATAAGATAAGTAAAGAATTAATCCAGAAATTCATGAGCTAAAAAGTATAATTAGAAATTGATTAGAAAAAAAAATCTTACCTTCATCATGCCGATTGTCCAAAATATATTTTGAACAATGAGATAGCAACCCCTTACTAATTGAAAATCCATCAAAATCCTCTTAAGCTCCTATGTATGTGAGTCTTTTGTTTGTTTGTTTGTTTATTTGTACTAAACCTTCATTTGGATGAGCTCCTATCCCCCAATTTTTGCAATATTCTAGTATACAATAGTTTAGATGTGATTTTGCAAAATTGGGCTCTCGGAATTGCCAAGGCACTTGATCCCCTTGCACTTAAAAATTCATTAATAATTCATAGAAGCTTTAAAATTCCAACTTAAATTTTCTATGGAATTAGACCTAAAGATGCTTCTATTGCAATAATTTTCACAAAAAGATCTTTAACAAGCACCCTGCTATGAAATTCCAAGCTAATTCTATTGCACTACCCTTGTACTATTTGAAAGGAGATCCCTTCTTACTCAAAAGTTTACTAAAAATTCATAAAAGCTTCAAAAATTCCAATTTGAGTTTTCTTAGAAATTAAACTTTAGAGCACAAAAAATACAGCAAACTACTTGAAAAGTAAGATAGAGATTGACAAGAAATATTTTTTTTGAAGTTGGTAGTTTTCCATGGCCAAAGCAATGCACCCTTCTTCACTTAAAAACTTGCCAACGATTCATTAAAGCTCCAAATATTGTCTGTTTAGTATCCTTGGAAAGCTAGTAACTAAAAAAAAGTGGTCACTAAATATTATAAAATATAGAATTAAAAAAATTGAAACAATTGGGAGTTGGAAATCCAAGTAAGTACAAAATAGAGAGAATTTGTATTGAATTAGAAGGAAGGAGGAGAGAAAACAAATTGGCATAGCTTTATCCTATTAGAAAAAGAGAGTTGGAGAATGGCTGCTCAATGCCCCTCAAACTAAGTGGAATGAGGCCCAAGGTGGCAACCACATCTCAACCATCTAGATCCAAAATCCCTAAACAAAATTAAAAGTCCATAGTAACCTTAAGCCTAAACTCGATTTCAAGGTTGAAAATGCATATAGTTCAAAAAATAATGCCTTTTTAATTAAAAAAAATACCACTAATTTATCCAAAATATATTTTTATCCTAAGATTGACTATTCACAAGTCCAAATCCGAATTCTAAATCATTAAAATCAATTAATTTGATAATTTAGTTGTAAACTTCAACTATAATTTTAATTCTAATTAGTCTTTTTAGAAGATCAATTAGAATTCTTGCCATTAAGATCATCATGATCACCATTCTTCAATTTAAACTCTCTTAAGTACAAACTCTTAGCAAATCAAAATCCTAATTACAATTTGGGCTTAAATTAATATACCTTTGATTTTTGATTTTTGATTTTTTTACTTCAGATAGTCATTAAAATCACTAAAAAAAAGAAAATCTATTATAAAGAATAGCTAATCTCTATCTTCTAAAGATCGTTATTAATTTAATAATTAGATTATATATTTTTGATCCATTTTAAATAGAAAAGTAGAATTTAAACTTCAAAGTCTTAAAATTAATTAAGAAGATCGAGCAATTAGGTTTGAAGAATTTCTAATCATAGTCAAATTAAAAATTAGCCTTGAGATTTAATATAAAGGTTGTAGATTAATTTAAGATATAATTCCTATGAATTAAAAGAAAAATTCTACTAAAATATAATTTTTATCATTAAAAGAAAATTTAAACTAAATTAAGAAAAAAAACATAGACCTTTTAAATTTTATATTTCTATATTTTAAAAATAATTGATCAATCTTATAATTAGAATTATCTACCTAATTATTAATCCAAAAAATACAATAAAAATCATCATTAATTAAAAAATTAATTTGGGTCTGTTAATTAATCATTTTAGCACTAAAATTAATAAAAATATGTTAAAAATTACAAAAGTAATTATAACTAATCATTGGAGCTATTAATCATGTTCACACTTGATATTCAAATTTTTTTGTAGATAAAAAAATACAGTTGGTTGTTTCTTATTTGCTTAAGATACTTCTTTTATTGCAAGTAAGAGTCATCAAATTGACTCACTTATTGTTTTAGGATAAAAATATGTATTTAGAATGCTTTAAATTATAATATATAGTAAGTAGTGTAGAAATCCTTAGAGAAATAGAAAATTAAAATGTTAGTAGTAGAAATGGAGTCTTAGTAAGTCTTGGACGCAATTATCTATGTTGATTTAATATTTTTATTCATTATTGAATAATAAGAATTATTTATTAAGACCAGGTTTTAGGATTTGGTCTTCTATCTATATGTAATACTTATAAAAACTATAAATGTTAGTAGTTAGAAGAAGCATGAGAAAGAACCTCATGTAATTTTAGTTATTAGTATAAAAAAAAATAGGATTTATAGTAGATTAAAATTAATTTTTATTATTATCAAAAATCACCAAGATAGGAAAATATAGCCTTACATGGATATTAGCATTATAAAAACATTATAGGATTTTCCAGAATTTATTTAGAATTTATTTATATTTTTTTAGGAGTTTTTAGAGCAATATTTAAGATCTTGGTAAAAATGAGTTTTACCACTTCGGAAGCCATTATGAAGAAAGGGAGTAAGATTTGAAGGCCATATTAAGTTCTTAAGCTAATTGGATGTTTTTAAAAACTATGGTAAAGTCAAAAATACAAAAAAAAATGAATTTTACTAGTAGAAAATAGGAAGACCAACAGTTAGTCTAGTGCTTGTAGGAAGGAAGGTGTACAAGTCCCATATGGATTGTAGTACCTTGGGTATAGGTAGGAAGATAAGACTAAGGCCTCAAGGCCTCTTTAGACACCCTTATACACTATATGTGAGGCTTGGTGAGGCTCGAATCCTTGATCTGTAAGTAAATTATCCTTGAGGTAAAATATTTTTACTTAACTTTTTGTTTATTTACTTATTGTTTCAAACCTTCATAATTTACTCATAGTAACTCGGATTTAT